TGCCCCATCAAATTGCATTCTAAATCAACTAATCTCTCTTCGTCTTTATGTTGTTCCTTTTCGTCTTTATGTTGTTCCTTTTCGTAACATTCTTTCCAATCTCCACTGGCGAAAGGTTCTTCTTTTTACAGAAGGCTAAATATGGCGTGATTGTTTTCTCTATTAGAGCATTCGGACTTAACTGAAAAGCCGTCATCGACTTCTATATCATATTTTTTTTTGTCAGAAGAATCCGGAGAAGATAATGCTGAGTTAGGCAAATACATTTCAATGAAAGAAGTTCTCTGCACTTACAAAAATAGCTGTATCTTTAACAAAATGGCTTTATATCTTTAGATCAAAACGCTACCGAGTTTCTCACATGACGTCAGCGGATATAAGAGACACAAACTCTTCTCAAGGGCATTACGGTAAAATTCAGACTTCGTATGGGGAAAAAAAGCAATAGAAATATAAATTTCAAAGACCTGGTCTTTCGAGCAAAATTAAAACGCCACAAGTTTAATTGCACTTTAATTTACCTTTGATGTATTTTATCAAAGCTGTAAATGCAATAGCTCGTAGATAGATTGATTTTGTCTCCAGAATGAACATTTAAAACAATGATGTGGCAATTGAGGTACAATTTCACAAAAAAGTCCGCTTTCACGAAATTCTAAGGGTACAACGCAATATCAAACACTGTCTGTTTCGAAAGAGGCATTGGTGTAAGTGGAACGTTAATTGAGGGGGCTATATTTTCTGCCATACAAAGTCGATTTTATTTGAGATAGAAGATATTTTCAAAACATATTTTTCTTTAATAGCCATTTAAACAACAAATAGTATTCTAATGTGCAGTTTTGTCTTTATACTAGACATTATCAGACGAACAAATAAAATGATCACACGTGCGTTTATATGCACATAAAGATTTCTATTTTATGCAGGTAGTTATTCGTACTATACTACAGGAAGTGAAGTATGGTGAATTGGACTAACAATAAAGGGTGAATGAGGATTTAGAGGATACAGATGAACATTCTGAAGAATATGAAGGCAAAACACAGTGGGTTAGTTAAAACAAGATCCAACGACATAAAACTACTTTAAGCATTCAGCGTGGGTGATCTGAAGGGTTATTATGGAAGGACATGGTGACTATTTTCCTGTCAAAGGCGAGTTGCGGTTAGGTTTTCATATTTACACACGTATTTCATCCTTTTTTCAGTTCCAGCTGATAGATTCCAAAATTCTTGAGATCTGATATTGTTTTGTCTTAGCAAGTTTCGACAATGTACCGCATCGCATGTTGGTCAAATAAAACACCATCTCCATGCTAATATCTAACAACAACTTGCTTTTGACAGGAAGAAAGGCACGCTTTACAGTACTGGGGCACTGGTGTGAGGGAAGCTAAACACACGGAATTCTTGTAGTAATTTTACGAAAATTTTAATTACTAATTTTACAACAACTATTTCATGCAATTAGAAAATTAATACAATAAAAATATGTTTACACGTCTTAATTATAAAGAGTTCAAACATAATTATCCTATACTAACTTGCTCATAAATTGCCTTAATACTTCTGATGAAAAACAAAGCCTACAGCATAAAGGCAAAAACATGGGATGTACAAATAAAAAGTATACATTTATGATTCTTAAATAAGAGCTTAGGTTATATACAGGTGTCTCGTGAATTCAAATATGCTATTCACACTAAAAAAATAACTTTTTGAAAAGGTGAAGTAGAAATGTTCTCATACATATAATTTTCGTAACTGATGTATGTCCTAGTTGTTAAAGTCATTCTTGCAAAGATTTTTTCACCATCTACACAAGCTCTACTGAAAACATTTAGTCTGCAATAATTGTTGACAGAAACTCTTATTAAACCAAACAGGTATAAATTCTGGGCTTACATAAATAAGATAAAGAGTCATAATTCAGACAATGGAAAAGTGTTTAGTTAAAGAAGCAGCCTGACTTGTTGAAACAGCAACAAAAATCTCTTTAGCAATATTCAACTGCCACGATACTTTGTATTAAAATTAAATTTTTTATCACAAAATTTCAATCACTTTCGTGATAATGCATCCGTTGTTCACTTTTTTTCTGTACTGAGAAGCTCCATCAAAACGTCTGCATGAGATGATACTTTCACATTTCAGTTTAATGACATTACGACAAAGACAAAAATGAGCTTCACTACATTAAATATGTTATGTCACGCTCCTTCTTGTTTGGCTCTTTCTCTTAATATCGTTCAACTACAGCAGACGATGGAAACTTTTGAAGAAGCCATAACTAAAATCAGCGAAGAAATTTGCAGAATGTCCACTAAATACGGGTGGAGAAAGAGTTATCAACGATTCTTTTTCTTTATAAAATCATCCCATAAACTATGGATTCAGAAAGCAAAGCTGCTCAAACATTGACAATCCTTGACGCAAGTTTTCACTGAAAGCGATAAACGTGACTTCAAACATCCTTCCATATTGATTACAGTCGTTTTTCCTTTCTTTGTCCTTGTTAAACTTATTGCTAACTTTTCCAGTTCGTACAATGATATAGCTAGTTTGCAGCAAACAGCAACAATAGTCACATTATACTTGTTAATTCATTTCCTTAAGCTTACGATCAAAGCTAGCCCAAACTTTTTGTCTTGCTAGAAAAATTTAAATGCCACGATACTTTGTATTAAAATTAAATATTTATCACAAAATCTCAATAAATTTCGTGATAGCACATCCATTGTTCACTTTTTTTCTGTACTGAGAAGCTCTATTAAAACGTCTGCATGAGATGATACTTTCACATTTCAGTTTAATGACATTACGATAAAGACAAAAATCAGCTTCACCACATTATGTTAGGTCATGCTTCTTGTTTGGCTCCTTCTCTTAATATCGTTCAACTACAGCATACGATGAAAACTTTTGAAGAAGCCATAACTAAAATCAGCGAAGAAATTTGCAGAATGTCCACTAAATACGGGTGGAGAAAGAGTTATCAACGATTCTTTTCTTTATAAAATCATCCCATAAACTATGATTCAGAAAGCAAAGCTGCTCAAAAATTGACAATCTTTGACACAAGTTTTCACTGAAAGCGATAAACGTGACTTTAAATATCCTTCCGTAGTGATTATAGTCGTTTTTTCCTTTCTTTGTCTTTGTTAAACTTATTGCTAACTTTTCAGATTCGTACAATGATATAGCTAGTTTGCAGCAAACAGCAACAATAGTCACATTATACTTGTTAATTTATTTCTTTAAGCTCAGGATCAAAGCTAGCCCAAACATTTTGTCTTGCTAGAAAAATTTAGCAAAAGCGCAACGCATTTATTGTGATTTTACATTTTTAAATGGATGAACATGAAAATATTTATGAAACGAAAAAGATTTGGGCTGGCTTGGACTCTGATAACACCCATGTTTTCAAATTTTATGGTCAAAATGCAAGTATTACGACGATATAACTTTTATCAAGAATAAAAATGATTTAAATGCAAAATAATATTGACTGATTGAAGAACAACTTTTTAGAACAAGATAGTATCAAAAACGAGCAGCGTTTAATACTAAAACCATCCTGCACTAAATATAAATTTGCATGGTTAATGCGATAGTTACTAATGCAAGTACAGATAAACATGCACGACTGCAGCAAAATATTTACAGTCTTTAATGCACTCAGAAGTGCATGTCTAGACAAAGTTGCACGAGAAATTATACAATTACTTAATAAAATATACTTTAAGGTATTTCTAGACTGTACAGTCAGTAACCGTCTCTTCTTTACGCTCTATTGCATCAGAAAGCATCGTTAGGTGTCCTTCCTGTTTAAAACAGTTACCTAAGAACCACTGCTTCCTGTTTTGCTTTTATTATAAGCATTCTTTTTATTTCTTGTCTTTCAAGCGATTGCAATTTTAGTAAACTGTGTTTAGGTACAACTGTCGCCGTGTATTTTTGAACTAAACAGAAGTTTGTTTAGCTTTCATTGCTTATCAGCAAATCAGAAAACAGTGATTGCAGTGTAATCACATATGTATACAGTACAATTACACATTTTCATTTTGCATTTACAGATAAACCAATCTATCACTATCGCTCTGCAATCAACCTATCACAGTTGAGAAATATCTCAAAGCATATTTTTACCATAGTAATTGTGTGTGCATAGTGTATAACAAAATACATCAAAAGTTCTCAATCAAATATTCTTAATGTATAAAAAAATCGCATTTGTTTAGCTGTAAAAGCTCTGCTCCTTTCAATTTTGCAAATATACGTTGATCCATGCATATGATGTCATCAAACATTTTTTGTTAAACTTTCATTGTTCGAACAATAACCAAATTATTACGAATATGTCACCAATTAAAGACACCATACATGAAAAATAAAATCAATCAATTAAATAGTGAAATAAAAGAGCAATAATAAAACAATAAAGGTCACAAATGAAGTTTGCATATAAGATAATGATTTTACTCAAGACAACAACATCATTTTGTTAATTCTAACTTGTCAAACAAATATAGAAAAAGCAAACCACTGTTAGGTAATATACTATTTGAAAACAATCATTATACATACTTATATTCTACGATTCTCTACATGCAAGAAATTTTTTATAAAATATTATGAACATTAGAAGTATGTAGACTAACAATGTTTATAGCATTATTGATATCTATCACTAGTATGCATATTACGTGCTTAAATTGGACTTTTTACCTAATAAACTTACGTTGTTGTTAAAATTACGTTAAGTTATTTTCTTCTTTAGGTAGAAATTCATTGTACGTGTACGTATTAGTGTTTTACAATGTAGTTTATAAATGTTGAACCTATATTGTCTTATAACTACCACTAGCTGATATATTACGTACTTTTGTTGTAGTAAAACTTTATTTTAATAAACCTGTGTTATTGTTAAAGTTAAATTATTATCTTGTTGGACTTTTAGGAATAGTTCCCGTAATAAGTCTGTTTCCAACAAAAACTTAATTAATACTTTTCGCAACTACTTAATTAAATATGCTTAGTTTTCAACCGTAATCGCCCTTATTGTTGCTACTGAATATTTTTGTCTTTCACACATGTTTTGAAATTCCGACTTACATTTTAATGTTATAAATTGTACATGTTAATGACAATTTTTAAGAATAAGGAACTTGTGATGCTGAAAATGTGATGCTGTTTAAGAAATGTGGTTGAGATTCGTTATGATCCAAGAAAGAGCAATTTTATCATCAAAGACTAAATTCATTCTCGTGGCAAGACGATTTTCGCGCAATTTATCAAAACGTCTAAGTCAGTAAACAAAGTAAAGACAAGTTTGCGTTTACAGCAGAAATAAAAGCTGCTACGATTTACGCGCAAAAGCGGAAAACCTAATTGTACGTTTTTAAAACACTTCAAGTCAATCAACATAAACTTATCACTAATTATAAATCTATCATTCAGAAAGACAGACTTGGCTAAAAACATGGTTAAACTGTAAATAACTTGTATGTTTTTAACGTCAAATACCTTTACATAGATATGGCTGTCACCAATTAATAATTTATTCGCTGATGGTGAAAAATCAGCGTGATCAATACTGTTACCTAGCCGCTCAATCTTATTTCTAAACTCTTCATCTATATATTCTAAACCATCTAGTGCTTCTCTACCTCCAATGATTTCTTTCTGAAGTACGTCATTCCAACCATTTACTGGTTTGTCCTCATGCCACATATAGTAAGATGTTTCATCCTCAAACTTGACTTTAGCAAACACATGATTTTTTGAGCTGCATGCAAGTATGTGCATATTTTGATGCTTAAAATTCACTAATACTTCTTGTTGCTTGTTTTCTATATTAAAAAACACAAGAGAATCAGTTTTTTGACAGGCAATTGACAAATCGCTTACCTCAAAAATTCGGTTTGTATCTTTTAGTTCATTGAAACTATAAAGAAGTTCTGTCAAATCATTATTCCAGAGTTCTGGAATGCTTTTTTCTTTACGCAAAATTACTCCACTTTGTACTGCAACCATTTCATTTACTAAACATTCCTTGATAACAAAGTCACCTGTGTTGAGATTGGTAACAATTACCCTTGAATTTTCATTCAGATAAAGAGAGTTTTCATTCAAGCAAATATTTTCTTTATCAACATGGTAAGTAATTGCAAGTGCACGTGCTATTAACAAAACATGAGATTCCTGAGGTAAATCTTTTCCGTAGCTAAATAGAAGAGCATTGTCGTTGTTCAATATAAAATAATTATACATCCCAAGACCTTGAAGAGAAAAAGTTGATATGTTATAGTCGAAGGGATCAAGAGGATACAAACGATATGTAAAAGTAAGATCTAAGTTAAGAAGTTTCTCACCAGTAGGATTTATAACAAAAAGTTTCCAAATGAAAGACTGTGAATACAAACCACAACACCAAGAATGAAGACCAACAGTGAAACTAATACAAACTTCTCCAAAAGGTGATTGATGGTCAAAAACAAATATTTCATAGTTATTCGCTACATCGTATGTTCTAAACATGTTTTTGTTCTCGACAACACCCAAATATCTGCCCGACCTGGTAAAACACAGTGAGGTCACATTGACGCATCTAATTCTCTTCTTCCTCTCACCTTTCTCAACGTCCCATACTGTCAAAACATTTTCGTAATATGTAACCAGCGTGCGCTTATCTTTTGAAAACAGCTGTTAGTAAAGAACTTAGAAGTAGAATCATCACAATGGAATGGACTGGAGCAAATTTTACCATTAATACATAGCACCTTATGAAGTTGTGAAGCAAAATGAAATCTTTGAAAGGATGAAAGATAACGCGAAATTCTTCCCTTTACAGCGCTCTAACTGATCAGCAATATTTCTTATCCATAAACATCTGCTTTTCTCAGCGACAAAAGTTGTACAATGAATCCCTCATAACCCAATATGACGTAGTCATGATTTTGTGAAACATCGATCGAATTCAAGTTTCGATTTAAACATAAAAACTTCGTCTTTACAAAACCCATTTCGACGTGCTCTAAATAAGCAGACTCTTTGAAACGTGTTTGAAGCATTGCAGTAGCTTGGAATGAAAGATCTCTAACTTCATTGACAACGTTTTGCAAAAAAAATATTAATTTATCCATATCTCGAGTATAATTGTTAACGACGAATGTCAACAAACAATAAAGATCATTAAATAACAATCGAGTGGCCTCAGAAATGCGAAAATACACGTCAAGAGAGATAAACAAGTCGAACATATGCAACATAATATCTTCATCGATCAACAAAGAAGCAACTAAAACTTCTAAGTCTACAAGATATTTACCAATATTTTCAATGATAGAAGCATTATCAACGGCAAGCATATGAGAAAACCAATACTTAACTGAATACTTCACTGACGCATACTTGATTTTGTCATAATTTACGCCAACAGCTTTAAGTTCGTCGAGTGTTTTCAAACAAAATTCTAAAACAATCCAATGACCACCACTCCTATCAACTGAGTAATCATGCTCATGATCATTAAACAACCAATCATTCAAGGTCTTGTGAAAAAACAAAACACAACCGTCTGCCTTGACAACAAATAAGCAAGATATAATTTTTTTAACCAAACATGATGTGCTTTTCGTGCAAAGTTTGTTCTCGATTATTTCGAAAGGAAGAGGTTCTTTGGCAACAACCAAAGCATCTAAAACTGACAAAAATTTTTCGTTACTGATTTGAAATGCCTCTAATTCTTTACCTAATCTTTTAAAGCAGGTTTCATAATATTCATTTAGATCTTTTGGTATGGATGCATTCGACAAACTTCCATTTTTGACTTCCTTGCAGAGAAGAGATGCAAGCAACATAAGTCCGTCAGCTTTGTCTACTAAATCATTTTTTAATTGCATTAGGCTGTCAGTAGAGCCAATTCTTTCATCGATCAATAATTTGATGTCATTTAAGTTGCGATCATCACTGCATTTAATAAATAGTGGATTTAATTTTTTGAATGTGTTTAAAGAAACTTCGTTTGACCTTGTTGTAATTACAAAGCGAAAACAATGCGGAAGTTTTTGCAAGTGATTAGCAATCAAGTTAGTCAGGTCGCCCCTTTCTTCATAACCACATTCATCCAGAGCATCCAACACAATTAGGAATCGCTTGGGAGATTTTACGATTTTGGAAAACAAATTAGTAAAAAGCAAATAGAACAGTTCTTCAACGTTCATGCTATTCAAACGCTGAGAGAGTTCACCAGAAAGTTTTTTTTCAAGAAGCTGTTGATAAGCAGGAAAAGTATGAGCAATTTGAAAGGCTAAAGATTGAAGAAGTGTATTGGCTTTATTGTAACGACTGTTGTTGTGTTGAAAGAAATGAACTGCACTCAAATATTGAGGATAACGTTTGCACAAGGTAGCTGCAATTACAGATTTACCCATGCCAGCAACAGCGGAAATAACAAATGCACGATTTTCGGATGTATCGCTATGGAACCAAGCTAAGAACTCATCAAAACCCATTCCCGCGTTCCTTCTAAAATTGTTCGTAGTGATGCGTAATTACACTCTCGAAGTCTAAACTCACAAGTTTTTTCGACAAAATATCTTCCACATTCTTCAATTGATCTATTTCTCCCTGAGTTATTCCTAAGCGAACTAATGGTTCGCTTATTTCCACCCAAAAACATTGAAAGTCATCAAAGCTTACTGAAGTGTTAGGTAAGTGAGCGAAACGATCATTGCGAAATAACCTGATACGGGTAATATCTGCTTCAGTTGAATGATCAGTAGGATTAGGAATGTTATTCCAAATTGGATCATGCGGTGGTTTTAAATTGCAAATATTGCGTAAGAGTATACAAAGTAAAGTAATGTCAAAATCATTTTCATTTGGCAATGTTGGAGGACTAGGATAAAATAAATCCCACTGTTCTTGACCAATTACTTTCTTCTTTTTTAATTTCGAAAGTTTTGCCTTATTTGTTGGGTTCTTTAAGACATGAAATAAATCAATACCTGACAGTTGTTTTTTCAATGTGATTCGCAAAGCCTCACCACCAAGATCAACAATTAATCTCATCAACTTAAACGCATTTGCTTTGTCTTCTGAGCTCTCTGAAGCAGTCATCATTTCAAAATCTAGAATGATGAATTCTATAATGAGATTTACACATTCACGACAAAAAATGAATATCAGAGATACAGCAAAAGATCTTAAATGCAATACTTATGAGTCACTTTTAAAAATACTAAATAATACTTTTTAGAAAATAGAAGAACTTCATTAACTTAGATCATTTCAAGACGTATTGTCCAAAATTCTTTTTCAACACTGTCTGAAAATTGCAATTGATAAATAAAACACCGTATTATAGAAAACACAAAGTTAACAAAGTTATAATTTTCTTTTTTAGAAGTAAAATAAGTAGGTATCCGTCATTTTGGTTCCAATTAAACTCAGTCCTTGCAAAGATCGAGTCTAACTAAAAGTGTATAGAAAGAAGAATAGTATTCATTTTTATTCATTTCTTTTAAAAATTCATTGTATTCATTGATTTTCATGTGAGTGGAAGTAAAAATATTTGTATTGCATAGCAAAATAATGAGCTGTCTTTGCTGGTCTGTAGTAAGATGTAAAAACATTTTTAATAAAATACTTTGCCGCAGAATGCTCTTAAATACATCTAATAACACGCTTTAGGGTATTTCTCGACTGTGATTAATTGATTTTATCGGTAGCTCCGTATAAATTACACTGTAAAATGCGAAACAACGCTAAGCTACAGAAAAATTTACACGATTTGGAGCAAGAAGAAGGTTGGTGACAATATAAACAAGCAACTTGCTGATATTGTCTACAAACGATGGTAAACAAAGCTACCAGAGGCAAAACAAATAGAAAAAATGGATAAATATTCCAGGCAAAGCAGCAGTGACAAATTTGTTTTTCTTCGAGTTTAAAATAATTAATTATAGGGGCTGATCTAGGGTATGTCCAATCAGTCACGCGATTGATGTTTATAGTTCAAAATTATTTATCAAATTTAATGATTACAATTTTTTGATTATTAAATTTTCGTTCTGTAATCATTTGGATTTCATCGTCAAAATTCTGTTTTATGTATAAAACTCATACAAATACCACTTTAGTAAACAGATCAGTAGATAAAACATATCTAGAATTACATTAACTGGCTGATTGATAAGAGGGTGGCTCGACTGGTTCGACCGATAACGGAGTTCAAGAACGCTTATTTAAGCCATTCCATTGGTCAATAGCCAGATCAGTGGATGATCTTGAATAATCTCGACGGATAAGCGGGGTGGCCGGACCGATAAGGAGTCCAATTGCTATCGTAATTGGTTCGTTTAAATTTTGTCTTACTGTGATTGGTTTTACCGATTCCGACTGATAACCAACGGAACTAACATAGTCAAGATCACTGTCTGAAATGAATGTTTGAACGTTTCATAGTAATTTTCTAAAGTATGAGAGAAACTACAATCAGATGAAATTTAGGAAATCTTTCGCAATTCATATATTGACATGAATGCTGCTGTCAAACTGTGAATTTTCTCAAGAGGATGAAAAATTTATGGATAAATTGTAAATACTTGGCAAAACGATCTCGCGAGCGACATTGCAGTCATTGATTTTCAAAAGCAAGCCAACATTCTTTTGAGTTTTCTCGGCAGAAATTTACATCCAAAATCGTAATTAAAGGACAAGTGAAGTGTATGCATGAATGTAAAATATTCAACTCAATTTATGCGAGTATGTGATGCGATTGATGTCAATATGGCGTATGGTAAGCAGATTGATGCTTCTAAAATTATTGTTCCTGAAGGACTTTTACCTATGGTTTCTTTAGTGCTTGGGGAATCTTGCTCGTTATATGGCAGCGAAACCCTATATTCCTGCAAATATATTTCAATGGACAAAAAATATGTAGCCATAAGGCGCCATACTATTATTTACTTTATCATAAACAAATGTTTGGGAATTTTCAGTTTATGATCATTGATCATTCAATCATTGGACAGTTATACTACACATTGTTTAAGATTTAAGAAAACTAACATTGATTACATGAGAAGCTGTTTTCTATAACCTGTGATTTTGAGTCTTTTCAGATCTGCGAGGCTTTTATTTTGACAATTGACTGAATGGTATTAAACCTGAGTATTTCACATACATGAAATATTGTCCCATGTCACATATTATCCCTTTTCCAACTGAACACCTCATGTAGAGATGCCAAGGTGTGTTGATCTACGACTCATACCAGATTGTTTGCCATAAATTACAAAGGGCTATTGATGTATGAAAAGCATATTCTACAAAGGAAAAATGTGTTCCTATATATGCAGATAAACCTTGAAATTTGACAAAACAGCAAAGTATTTTTCATGATCACTAGGTAATATTTCTGATGATCATTATAATTTCTAAACTAAATTATTTCAGATTTACATTTAAACGAGCTTTGATCATATGAAAAGACATTTATCATAACCAGTAAGCATGACACATGAACCAATTTTAACATTCATGTAATTATATGACTAAAGGCATGTTGGTAACATTCTGTTTGTGTTGGCAAATACAATGCTACTGGTGATTAACATATAGCACACCTTGCATATACATACAGAAGATAATAATCTAGTAAAATGCCTAATAAACATTAATTGCATTAAGCTGTTTTTAATTCCAAATTTTCACTCATAATTTTTGCTTAATCTTTGGCAGAAAAAAATTTGCACTGTATGTGGAGATTGGTAAGGGTTACAATAAACTTGCATGGTTTGAAGTCTGAGGTTTTCCACATCTGTGAACTGTCCCTTTTAGTACCAAATTTCTAAATTAACTCATTACATAGATGTTTGATTGGGGGTCTCTAGGGGAGTCTTTCCCTGACAACTTGGGAGAAAATTTTAAAGACAATACCTTTTTTGGAATAGCATTATTGTAAAATAAATTTTATGTTCCTAGGCATGCAAATGAGCCATATATTTGGCATGATAATGAGCCTAAATATTTGGCATAACATTCAAGTATTGTTTATTTCAGTTTTTTTTACGCTAAAACGATGCACACAAAATACATTTTGTATTGCTCTAAAACGCTGAAAATGTTATTTTCAAGTCTCTGAAATTTAAAATTTCCCAGGGGAAAATGTCTTGGACCGCCCCAGGTGCGGAGCGCTTCCCACGTTTTATGACTGATGTTTGAAAAATCCTAGACCGCCCCTGATTAACTACACTCTGAAAATGTTTAGTTGCATAACAAAAAGGTATAGTTAGCTGTAAATATTATAACCTGGTTGGTTGAAAACCAGTAAAAGCTAAACAAGCCTATTTTTAATTCAAATAACAGGAACGTCGGAAGATCGAAAATTCTATTTCGTCATAGAAATTTGCCAATAAAGAGTAATGTAAGATATGTCATATAAGACATGTAAGTAGCTATTTAAAAATCGAACAAAATCGTAACGAATGATAAAACAAACAGATATCAAATGGCAAACTGGAAAGACAATTATTGGAGCCACGCGTTATGAATGAAGCAACCACTGGGAAATCGAAAGACCAGAAGTTCCAGCTAATATAGTCGAGTAAGTGGAGATAATGTCAAGCATTTAAAAATGAAGTAATTATAATTAAGATATTCGCTGAAACAGCTGAGTACAATATATTTTTGGTAATGAATTGTACAAATGTACCCTACTTTTGTAGCTCAAAGTAGAACATTACTTTTCTTCTAGACTTGTCAATGATATTTTAATTGTAGGTTTGGGTTTATAAGATCACAGAGGCATATTTCCATAATTTCAGCTATTTGGGCTCTTTAATGTATATTACAACTGCTGCTGCCATTCTGATATATATTAAAATATTGCTGGTTTTCTGATGTATATTTAAGTGCTGCTAGCTTTTTGATATATATATATATATATCACTGGCAATACAAGGTATAGCATTTGAACAAACGGGTCTAAGCCCTCCAACACACCCCTGTTTGATCAATAAACACATACAGAAGTTGAGTCATTCCTCAACCCATAAATGTAACTCTTTGCTAAATTAAAGGTTGGATCAGACTCATATGCTGTATAAAAGACTACAAACAGTATACTTATAGCAAACAGACTGTTCTTCAATAACAGAAATGTTTCATGTTATAGAAATAATATATTCATTTTAAAGAAATGCTTCAGCAGAATCCTTAACAAACTTCATTAGAAATAAACTTTAATACTTTATAAAGTGTTTAAGGCGAAATAACTTCATACAAAGGAATAAAATGTTTAAGGCCAAATGCATCTTGGGCAAATCACTGCATATTTCAATAACTAAAAGTAAAAAGTCTGTCATTTTCTGCTGAGCAAGAAAATTTTGTGATCTTTCAGAAGAAAAATTGTCATGCTTCGATCAAATTGGAGGGCATAAACAACTCAATACTATTAAATCGTTACAAATCTTGAACACAAATCTCTCAGGACCAAAACTGCATGATTACTAAGATTCGAAGTTTCGAACAAAGTCTTGTCCAACTAGTTGATAACAAGTGATGCCAGGATAACATTGCCGCTTGCCATCAAGCTTAAAGATTTTGAAAACTTGTTACAGAGTCGGAACATAAGTCGAGAAAACACGTTCACTTACGAAAATACTTACAGTGGGTCACGATCAATTTGAAGCACGAACTAGTAAACCGCAAACGAAGCTCAAACCAATGAAATTAAAGCAGGTCTGCCGCAAATCGTTAAAAAACCCCAAAGGGCTTGCTATTGTTCCTAATATATTAGATCATACCATGGAATAAGCTTAAACTGCTTTCCACTTTTGCATATATACCCAATTTTCAATAGTATTATTATAGATTCACTTTGCAAATTTGAACCGAAATGGCGGCTACGCGCTAGCCACAGACCGTTTGTCGCAACTCTTACGAATAGAGGGCTCTGAACACAACAACCTACCCATTCTTAAAGTTGGTTTCCACAATTTCTTTCACGATTGATAAATTACAACAAATGCGTCGTAAAAGGTTGCCAGACAGCAGACGTTGATCAACTGATCACAATAAATACCTATGATTGACACATCTTGGCCACACTATGTGTGAGCTGTCA